TATTTTCTGCTTCAGTTTTGCAGTGATGGATTAAACCTCCTGGGCAAATGCTGTTTGTGAGTTTGTTTTGAAGCAATTAATGAGAGACTAGAGTCTGTTACACCAGCGAGAACAAAGCATATTATCTATGCCATCCTTAAGGGTCTAGACAGAGCCACTGATTAGCTATGGAGCTGGCTGGAAAACCTGAAGAAATTATCCCCATGTGGTGCTAGTGGAGCTGAGGGGATACAAAAGATATTTTCTTGTGTGAAAAAAGTCATCTCTATTACTTTAATGAGAATGGCTGACATTACACCACAGAAACAAGCATCAATTGATTTAGAAAGAGCAAGAGAAACTGGAAAACCTGAGCATGGCTGTAATAATCCAAAGAGTGAAACATTACTGCGGCACAGGCTCTGTGTTACACCGCTAACTTCCATAAGAAACATTGCCACAAGTCAGCGTGCTAGATTAGCATCTTGTTTGGGGTATGATCTCTCTTCTTTATCTCTGTATCAGCCGACGTCTGAACTGAATTCACGGACATCAGCAGTTTGTTTCAGCTGCACTGACTCAATCTATACTTCAGCTTGAAGCAGGGAAGTGCTGTGAAAGTATAAGTAGAAGAAAATAGATACAAAACTCACAAGAAAATTCATGATTGCGTGGTACAAATATAACTACAGAAAACAACCGAGGCACTGAAAAAGTAAAATGACATTTTCAGTCTGTTTATTGAGGATATTGGAATAGATTTATGATTTCCTGTCGCTGTATATTTGAATTTCTTTACATGTAGTTGGGGCACTGATATGTATTTTCTTGATTGCTGTTTATTGTTGTGTTTTTTTCACGAGCGCTCGAGCCACCAACCGCTGGGATTTCATTCAGACTGCTGGACGTGTCTCTGCCGCAGTACACGAATTATCATCCCATGACAACAGAGTGTAGCTGCTGTTATGAATGCGTGTCTCGTCCTCGGCTAAACTAATTTTAATTCCCCACAATCTTCATCTGTCCAGAATGTGCACCTCTGCTGTCTTCGGTGCTGCTGCATCTGCTGCCTGATGACGCACGTTCAACCTCAAAACGAATCTAAACTCACAGCAGGTTGTACATTTGCATGGATGAAAAGAGTCTCTATATTTTCATGCTTAACATGGTAAATTGTGCAAACTAGTAAAGTAACAGCATTAAGTATTAGCTGCAATAATGCAGCTACGGCAACCATGTTTTTCCAATAGCGCTAAAGAAAATGCTCTGTGATCAGGGTCCATCGCGATTCACCGATCAATAAAAAGATGCAGCATCGTTCCAATACGAGAGAGCAGGACACAAGCACCTCTCGCTACCTTCAATAAACCGTAAAATGTACAGAGCGCTCACATTAGATCGACCGTGCTGCAAAACTCAGTTGCAGTCTAAAGAAGAAGCCTTGAAATAGAGACTAAATACAATCTTTTATAGCCACGAACCATTAGTGCCGAAACTATAGCTCACATTCTCTTTAATACCACTAATAAAGAAAACACTTTCCACTCCCTTCTGAACCCGCAGTATTGATTAATGATCCTCTCTGGTCTGACAAATACAGTTTATGCTCTCATTAAGCTACAACAAACTTTGGTGCTCACAGGGAACCCTAACAGTCTCCGTTATGGATTGGGTCATTACTGCTTAAATAAACCGCCCCTGTTTTGCCAGCTTCTACTCATATAGGGCCAAATAAGCTGTGCTCTCTGTTATGGATGACAGAGCCACACACACTCCTGCTGCTCGTGGAGCTGCTTCACTGACTTCCTCTGAAGTAAATCACTGAATCCTTACGGATTAAACAGTGAAAACAAACAGAAATCATTTTAAGGGACTAATGAAAGCTGCTTGGAGAAAGAGGCGACTAACCTTTGTTGTAAAGCTTAAGTGTGTGGACTGTATGTTATATGTGTGTTGATATACGTGAGAGGTGAAGCAGACTGAAGCAGCTTTAATGCCTCTAGCTGCCATCTGGCTAGTTAAACAACAGTGTGTCCAAAACAGCCACAGCTGTGTAGACACAAGTAAATGTCCTGAAATCAGGCTTCTGAACAAATTACACATACTTCCATTGTTATTACTAGTGTGCACCATCTTGTGGTGGCATTATAAATGACAAGTCAATTATTTGTATAACAACTAAGAGTGATTTTTAAGACTGCACAAAGGTAGAGCGCTCAAAAGGACGTCTTTGTACTGTTAGTGCTGACAAACCTAAACAGACTTTGACTTAGATTATTATTAATGCTTAAAGCCTTTTTGAATGGAACATTTTTGTCAAGCTGTTTAACAGGATAAACCTTTGCCATGGAAAGCAGCTTTTTCAGGAAATAGTGTTTTCTGCAGCTTGATGACATTTCTTTCTTTTGATCTCTAAACCAGGGTTTCTTCCACACAAATTATGGCCATATGGTGCAGCTAAATTGGTGGACTTATGGTTAGGTTCACATTTCACAGTCTTTAATATTGCTGTGGAGGAATTCTGGCCCAAACATTTTTCCAGAATTGTTATGATTCAGCCATGTTGGACAGTTTTCAGGCTGTTTAAGATCATGCCAAAGGACTAGTCCACTCAACCACCTTTATTTTTTAGTTTTCTGAACCGAACCGAAGTGCAGTCGAACCTCAGGGCATCAACTGATGGCTGGACATTGACCTTTAGGATTTTTTGGTACAGCAGAATTTATGCTTCCATCAATTATGACAAGTTGTCCAAATGCTGAAGCAGCAAAAAGCCTCAGACCAGATGGTATGATGTTGTTTTTATGAAATGCTGTGTTAGTTTTACAGAAGATATAACGGGGCTCACACCTTCCAAAAACATTAACATTAGTCTCGTCAGTCAACAGAATATTTTCCAAAAGGTTCTGGGGATAGTCAGGATGTTCTTTGGAGACGAGCCTTTGCGTTGTTTGTGGGGCGATCGTGGCTCAAGAGTTGGGAGTTCGCCTTGTAATCGGAAGGTTGCCGGTTCGAGCCCCGGCTTGGACAGTCTCGGTCGTTGTGTCCTTGGGCAAGACACTTCACCCGTTGCCTGCTGGTGGTGGTCAGAGGGCCCGGTGGCGCCAGTGTCCGGCAGCCTCGCCTCTGTCAGTGCGCCCCAGGGTGGCTGTGGCTACAATGTAGCTGCCATCACATGTGTGTGAATGGGTGGATGACTGGATATGTCATCCACCCATTCACACACACTAGGGACTAGTAAAGCGCTATATAAATACAGGCCATTTGTCTTTGCTCAGCGATGGTTTTCACCTTGGAATTCTCCCACGGATGCCACTTTTGCCCAGTCCCTTTGTTATTGTTGAATGATGAACTCTGGGATCTTTTGTGACCTCCTGGATGAGTTGTCGATATGCTCTTGGAGTAATTTTGGTAGATCGGCCACTCCTGGGAAGGTTCACCACTGTTCCAAGTTTTCTCCATTTGGGGATAATGGCTCTCATCGGAGTTTACTGGAGTCCCAAAGCCTAAAAAGTGGCTTTGCGACTCTTTCCAGACTGACAGATGTCAGTGGCTTTGTTTCCCACCTGTTTCTTTAGGCCAGTGGTTCTTAAAGTGTGTGGCGGGGCGCAGAGTTGTGACAGGTGGGGCGCAAGTCACCTGGCAGAAAAGTCATGTGGAACTAATGTTTAACATCTGAATCACTTTTACGGCAGAACCAAGAAATTTGCGGCAGTTTGCTATTAATATGCACATCTGCTCTGCATCCGCTGAAAAGCTGCAGCCGCATGTGTAAGTCCACAGCTGCAATAAAGAAGTGTACGGAGAAGTGCCAAGGTAGGTACCCCCGACGGAATTAGTTTCCCCTGCGTCGGGAGCAAACACTGGGCTGTCCAAGTCACGGACAAACAACATCCCACATTCGTGATTTTTAGTTCACAAACACTTCTTATAATGACCCACTACTCCTGACATTTTGGAGGTTTTAGCTCTGTACAGTTACAGAAGAATACAAATAATTATCAGTCAAAATCTCCTTGCTTTATTGAAATAATCCTGTCCAATAACACGTGAGAACAATAAATGTATCATTTTCTGTTGTCACCCACAAACTGAACAGTAATTAGTAACAGTAACATTCATTTTCCACTAAAACAGTCCATTACTTCCACGTCTAGCTGGTTGCAATGGAGGCGGCGCCAACTGGACCCGCTCTGCCTGCCCAGCGAATGCTCCTGGCGCAAGGAAACAAATTCTGTCGGGGATACCTACTTTGGCATGATTGCGGATGCCGCTCAGGTCCGTCCAAATCCCCCGTAGCCGCGCCGCAGTCAAACTAGGCTGACTGCAGCCACTAAGAGTGAAACGCATTAAACTCTCACTAAATTATTTATTTTTCATCTCTGTTCACAAGTTTCTGGATTTCTTTTTTTTTAAATAAGACTAAGACAGAACTTTATAATGTTCACATTCTGTTTAACTTGTTGCTTCTTTTGAAGAGGTGGTGCAGACTAATGAAGCAGTCTAGTAACAAAAGTCACAAATAGTTGTTTGAAATGAAAGTTGTTTGTTTTAAACAAAAATTACTGAAGGATTCATTGTGAATTAGTTTATTATGTAAAGAAAGTTGCAGCTCGGCTTTTCTGTCGTTGTTTCCTTTAGATGTGGGGAACGATGTGACAAGTTTGAGAGCCACTGCTTTACACTGTGGTGATCTGGTGGTTTTTGGATTCTTTTAGTTTACTTCAGTTTGTCATTTCGTCCTTGATTCTACTGGCCTGGGTGACGATAAATTCAGCTTTCCTAAAAATATTAATTCATGATTTAGCAAAATCCTCATTTAAATACTGCATTTTGTATTTACTCAGGTTAACTTTCAGGAAGGTGCCAAATACATTTTCACTGCAGTGTACTATTAGTTCACCTGTAAACCTTTGTATCTATAAAAGTAAAGCAGGGAATATTAGGATGAATGTGATTCATGTTACCTAAAGGTGTTTCATGGTCAAACTCTTGACATTTGTTGTGTTCGACTGACGCACCTGTCTCAACTTTAGAGTGGTCGGTTCTCTCTGTCACCTTCTCCTGGCTGATGAGGTAATCAACAATCCTCACACCGATTGGGGGCTCCGTGTGGTTCCACTCCATGATGACCAATGAGCTGCTGGGTTCGTAGGCGTAAGACAGTTTAAGCCTGGCAACAGAATGACAGAGATATACAAGCGCACCACTTACTGAAAGATGTTTTCAGCACACTGGCCTCATTACTGTAATTGACAGCTAACATTATCCTTCTTGTTCTGTCAACTGCAATCCAACTGAAAACATGCTCTGCACTGTCACAAACACCTCTGTCAACAGAAAATATAGTCATTTATCCGCTAATGTCTGACTGACTCTGCTGCTCTCTTCTGCAGTTATGTCACTGAAAACATTGTGCACACAAGTTTTATGCCAAGAAATCGATGAATGGCAGCTCAGCGGATCGATTAGAGCACCCAAACCGAGCCGGAGAACAAACGCGCTGACCACAGGAATGTTGCAATAAAACACTGCATGCACACAAATCCGCTGAAGCAGGAGAACAATTTCTGCCTGTGAAACAATTGATTGTATTTACCACAATCCATGAAAGGGGAAGAATACAGGTTTTACTAACATGGGCTGAGGAAGCGGGGCGCAGGTGGGCAGTCCGTCTGCGCCAAAAGCGCTGGAATCACATCGACACCAGTCATCGATAACATCGCCTTTGCCTGAGCACCACAGCATGCTCATCATTGCCTCCTGAAGAGCCTACGATAAGAAACAGCGAGAGGGCAGAGATAAACACACATGAACACCTGTAATTTTACAGCTGTTTTCTCACATAAACTTTTCCACTTCACGATTTTTATACCAGGAACTGTAAGTTAAAAACCCCTGTGTGTTTCTTTTTCCATGCAATGGTCAATTTGTAGGCAAATTTGATTACCTAAGTGGGTGTCTTTAACCAATACAAGAAAATGTATCAAATATGCATTAAGTTATTTCATTTACTACACTTTCTCCACTGGACATTGCAAATTATTGCAAATTGGTGTTTGTCTAATGAGGTAAAACATAAAAACATGTAAAAAAAAAAACAAAACATAAAATACTGCATAAAAAAGTAATCAGGTTATATCTATTAGATCCCAATAAACATGCAACATTTTGTTCTACATAAATTTAAAGACTTTTCAGTTCGATGCGCCTGTTTCTACTTCAGTAACGCACAGTTTTTCACTTTTATTCTGTCTGCATTCTGAGGGGGT